ATTAGTTGCACTTGTGTCCTTTTACTTTACAACAATTAGATATGTGGTATACAGTGGTACCTTGACTTACGCGTTAAATTTGTTCCATGACTGAGCCTGTAACTCATTTTAGAACATAAGAAAGAAGGAACACTTCAGCAGCCCTACTGGCCCATGTGAGGCAGGTCCAATTCTCCCACCAGATTTAGCCAATGCCTTGACCTAGTCAGGTCAGTCACATTCACTTCAGGGAGGAGCACAGCATCTGACCTAGTAGTACAAGCTAGTCAGCTCTAACTCACACCCACTCATGTATTTATCCAACCTGTTTTTAAAACTACATAACGTCTTAGCTTCTATAATGGTACTCAGGAGTTTGTTCCATTCATCCACAACTCTATTACCAAACCAGTGCTTTCCTATATCCTTCCTGAATCTGAATTTTTCCACTTTAAAACCATTGCTGCGAGTCCTGTCTATGCTAGATATTTTTAGCACACTATTTACATCCCCTTTATTAATTCCTGTTTTTCATTTATACACCTCAATCATATCCCCCCTAATTCTACACCTTTCTAGATATTGCAGATTCAGGGCCCTTAGTCTATCCTCAAAGAAGATTTCTGATACATGCGATCAACTTTGTCATCCTCCTTTGTATGTTTTCCAGTGCATTTATATCCATTCTGTAATATGGTGACCAAAACTGTGCAGCATAATCTAAATGAGGCCTAACCAAAGATATACAGAGTTGAAGAACAACCCGAGGATTTCTATTATTTATACTTCTTGTTATGAAGCCAAGGATTCTATTAGCTTTATTGCAAACACTTATGCACTGTTGTCTTGGTTTCAGATTACTGCTAACCAGAACTCCTAAATCCTTTTCGCAATCCGTAATGTTAAGATCTATATTGTTTAGTTTATATGTGGCATGGTTATTTTCCTGTCCAACATTTAGAACTTTGCACTTGTCTATATTTAACTGCATCTGCCACTTTTCCGACCACTGCATCAGTCTATTCAAATCATCCTGGAGTGCTCTAGTGTCCTCATTAGAATGAATTGTACATCCTATTTTGGTTGTTATCAGCAAATTTGCTTATGTCGTTATTTATTCCCTTATCCATGTCGCTTACGTAAACTGTGAACAACGAGGGGCCCAACACTGATCCCTGTGGAACACTGCTTGTGATGTGCCCCTATCCTGATTTCTCCCCATTTATGCAAACTCTCTGCTGCCTACTTGTCAACCCATGAAAAAATTCCTCTTCCCATTCTATGTGCCTAAAGTTTTCTCAACAGCCTCTGATGTGGAACTCTATCGAAAGCCTTCCTCAAGTCCATATACACAATATCATATTCAATACCATGATCTACCTCCTCAAATACCTTAGTGAAAATGTTAGTAAATTCGTAAGACAGGAACACCCCTTGTAAAACCATGCTGAGATCCATTAATCAATTTATGCCTTTCAAGATGGCTACAAATTGCTTCGGCAATTGTTGATTAGGTAAATTTACCAACTATGGAGGTAAGGCTTATTGGTCTATAGTTCAAAGCTAAGGACCTGTCACCTGCCTTGTAAACAAGTACCTATTACATTTGATATTTTCCACTTGTCTGGCACTATGCCAGTTTGTAGTTATATATTGAAAAAATTAGCCAAAGGTATGCTAAGTTCCTCTTGACATTCCTTTAAAACCCTTGCAAACAGTTCATCAGGGCCTAGGAATTTGTTAGGTTTTAATTTCTCTATTTGTCTAAGGACCGTGTCACTAGTTACCCTAATTGTGCATAGTTCATTATCGTCCTCTTCTACATAATTTATTATTTCTGGAATTTCGCTAGTATCTTCCTGAGCAAAAACCAAGAGGAAGTAGGTATTGAAAAGTTCACACATTTCCTTATCACTGTCAGTGATCTGACCTGAATTACTCTAAAGTGAGCCTATCTTGTCCCTAATCTTACTTCTGTATACTTGAAAAAAACCTTTTGAGTTAGTCTTTGAATCCCTTGCAACTTTAGCCTCATAACCCCGTTTTGTTTTCTTATTCCTTTTTTTCTCTCTTTGAATACTGTATTGATTTCTTAACTGCCCTTCCTTTCTTTTGATATGCCTATATTTGCCTCTCTTTTGACCAATGAGATGTTTTAATCTATTGTTTATCCATTTGGGATCATTTTTATTAGATCTAATTTCCCTACTCAGGAGAAAAGTCGTCTGGGCAGCTAGCACTATGTTCTGAAATGTGTCATATTGGCAACCAACCCTAATCTTACTTCTGTATACTTGAAAAAAACCTTTTGAGTTAGTCTTTGAATCCCTTGCAACTTTAGCCTCATAACCCCGTTTTGTTTTCTTATTCCTTTTTTTCTCTCTTTGAATACTGTATTGATTTCTTAACTGCCCTTCCTTTCTTTTGATATGCCTATATTTGCCTCTCTTTTGACCAATGAGATGTTTTAATCTATTGTTTATCCATTTGGGATCATTTTTATTAGATCTAATTTCCCTACTCAGGAGAAAAGTCGTCTGGGCAGCTAGCACTATGTTCTGAAATGTGTCATATTGGCAACCAACCCTACCTACCTGACCCATAGTAAGGTCATTCCAATTTAGCCCACCCAAGTAATTTTTCAGCCCCACGAAGTCGGCCAAGCGGAAATCTGGGACAGCGACTTCATTGCAGTTATCTGGGTAATTCCATGATATATTGAAACTAAGTGATTTGTGATTGCTTTCCCCTAGCTCATCATTAACCTCAAGATTATTAACTAGTGATCTCCTCATAATCAAATCAATTTTCCTCACTGAAATTAACTGAAATGCCATTAATCTGTTCCAGCCCCCAAAAATCCACCCCAATTTTTTCGTTACAGGTTTTTAAATAAGAAAAGTGTATTTATAAATAAGAAATGATTTTTGCCTTTTTTGCTAGGTCCCAGCAATGTTTTAGAAATGCTGGAATATATATGCAACTCCTTGAAGTAGAGTGTAAGATGAGTGTAACTCCATTGCCAGTGGAGTGACACTCATGGAGTGACATATGATGATCGTGCACTGCCTTGGATTTATTTTTCACTGTTACAAATAAACATATCTGTTTCTGTCTCTCTAGCTCTGTCTATGTTTATCTCTGTCTCTGCTTATCTGTCTTTCTGTCTGCCTGTCTCTCCTGCTTCCTGTCTCTCTACTTGTCTCTCTGTCTCAGAGAGAGAGTGCCACTCATGAACCAACAGGTATTACACACGACACAGAGTCGTCACCTCTGATTCCTGAACAAGTGAAAATGTGTATTACTTGCCAGTCATGCTTATTATGCCTTATATCTACAAGCATAGTATAGCACTTTGTCTGGATTTTTTGGGTCATCTTAGATCATTTACACTATGTATAACTGTATTTATGTGTACCTGTGAGACAGAGACAGACACACATATAGAGACAGATAGATACAGACAGACTGAAGGAGATAGACAGCCAAAGCAAATCAGCCAGCCAGCCAGCCGGCCACACAACCAGCATACATTATAGAACAGTCTGGCAGGATGACACTACCAGTGGTATCAAAATTAAAAGAATGCTACACACTAGTTATTATCGAGGGTTTTGATACTTCCTCTGTCCTGCGAGTGGCGGCATATCTGAAGCTCACTCATAACTCGGATTTTGGCTCAATTAAAAAAAAAATTGACCGAGCAATGGCTCGTAACTTGGAAAACTCGTAAGTTGGGGCACTCGTAAGTCAAGGTACCACTGTATTATGTAAATAGTACCTGTAATTCAATAGTTTGGTAGGTGTCTAGTGAGGTCTTAGACATTTAAAAATAACTGATATCAGCAAGTTACCCAGCTATCAGATTCAGTGACTTGTTAAAATATAACCATGAGTTATCGAACAATATACATCAAGAGAGAAATGGTATAAATACTGACATGATAGAAAAAGACATTTCTTTGCAACTTGATAAAGCCCACTGTGTGGACTGCATTATACTGCCTATGTGTCTTTATCCAACATACATTAGGTGTAGATTAGGTTACTACTTTTTAAGTTTAACTAAATTTATATGAGAACTCTTTGTTAGTAGGAAAATATCAGAGAATTCTCCTGAAGGACTGATGACTTGGCAATGTCTGTGAGATCACTGGCATTCATTTGGTAATCTTTGATAGTGTCATTTCCATTCAATATTGCCCAATACCCTTATAATGATCATTAGAAATTTTAATGTAAGAGTTGATTGATTAATACCCAACAACTTGTAGCACTGAACATCCTAAATCATAATTTGGGTAACAACAGGTAACTGCTCCTCAGTAGATTTCGGCCATTAATTATAGCTGAGCTGTGCAATACAGTACTGAGTTAGTTATACAGTAGATATATTATTTTATAGTGCAAACAGTAAAAAACCTAACCTAATTTAACTCACCTAACCCAACCTAACATAACTCAAATTTTCCCATCTTTGGTAGATAAGAGATGTTTACATTAAGCCAAGTGTGTCACACGACTCAATACTAAATGTTAATTGACTGAGATGTGCTGTGCACTCAAAATAATATACTATTTTCACTACTGTCTTCCAAAATAACAATTTTCACAAGAAATGCTTTTTCTGTGTACACAGGTATGTACTATAAAACATGGAGTAATGTTCGAGTTCCACAGAGTAGTGGTAGCAAACTAAAGCTATAATTTAACCTCATTGCTAATTTACTGTGCAGATCAACTATAACATACTGTATTTCACATCCTTAAAAAATATATTCATGCTTTACTCAAGATCAAAAGCATGTTGTCCACCAATTCGTAATTTTTGTTAACATCTATACTCACTAATAAATAAATAAATAAAATTAAACTCAATAATTAAATAATACTGTGACGAAGGCTTCAGAATCAAGAAAGTGGCTGAGGTGCTAAATAAAGTAACTACCTCAACTAGGGTTCCCTTGACATTTAAGCGATTAGCAAACTGATACAACATACACAACCATTAACTAACTTACCAGTCTGTCATTTCCAGATAAAACCGAGCAGAATGTTCATTAAGATGCGCACCAACTAATGTTTGTAACTCCTTTATCAGAACTTCCTTGTCAGTGGTTAACATACAGTTAAATTGACGGAGAAGACCTCCTTCCAGGTCTTCATCCACCTCCATCCTGATAAAACTGTCGCAAAATGATTGAAGGTGTTGTTTTTAATTTTTTTATTTTTTTTTATTTAGGTCTCACTTTGTTGACGACGGGAGGTGAAATGCTGCCTCCAGTATAGACAACATGACCGGCTGCTGTCTACACTATAGACGCTATGAATGGTGGCCCGACACCCCTGCCAACCATCATAACATCTTCTCTTATACAATTTACTTAATATTTACTAAATTATCCTTCTTCAAAACATCCGCAAAGTCGTTATATTTCTTTTAATTTTTACCTCATGGTCATTTCCTTGTATAAGTGTTGCTAGAATTTCTCCTCTGAATTCATTGCGTTGATGGACATTAACCTTGGTAATACTTGGTGTTGATGCTAATATGAAGAATCAAATAATTCATTAGATACTAGTTAAACCTTTTCATGATACGTGTTGGAAACCAACTATTTTCGGAATATATACGTTTACAAAAATAAGCACAACCTTACATTTATAGATCACAGTTAAACTAGAGCACCTAAAATTAAAGAAAAGGGATTCAGTAAGTGCGCAATGTGTCCGTATGAGTAATGCGCAAAAAGTTGCATTCTATATAGAATGTATGACACGGTTTACATACGTATGTACGCGTAACTATATTTACATTGCGCAAGCATTCGAACTGAGAGGAACATACTTTGTTACATTTATGGCCTATCGACGTTGATATTTGGCTTTGTTGGGTTATTTAGTGTTTTAATCTTTACCATTTACTAATGCTGTATGCCCATAATAATCACGTGTTTAATGCAATATAGAAATTATGAAACATTAGCTTTTACAAGCCTCAATGGAAATACAAATACCTAATGGTTATACTCATAACCATATTTTTTAAAGAGGTGGACCGGTAAGCCAGCGGAAGGTCTCGGTCAGATGAGCAATAGCTCCAGATGCTGGTCATCATATGACTACCTGAAGTTTACCTGGAGAGTTTCGGGGGTCAACGCCCCCGCGGCCCGGTCTGTGACCAGGCCTCCTGGTGGATCAGCCCCTGATCAACCAGGCTGTTGCTGCTGGCTGCACGCAAACCAACGTACGAGCCACAGCCCGGCTGATCAGGAACTGACTTTAGGTGCTTGTCCAGTGCCAGCTTGAAGACTGCCAGGGGTCTGTTGGTAATCCCCATTATGTGTGCTGGGAGGCAGTTGAACAGTCTCGGGCCCCTGACTAAGACCCGCGTCAGGAAACATTTGTTCTGTTTCTTGATAATCCTTACCTAACCTAACCTAAAGTTGACACTTTAATTGTAACTGATTCTCTGTCGTCCATAAATGCTCTCAATTCATTAAGCATAAATTGTGGCATGCTTGTGTCAGAATAAGTAAGTTTATTCAGGTATACACAAATACAGTTACATAGATTATCATACATAGCAGCATCTGTGTAAAATACCTAGGATAGCCCAAATAAAGTAGAGTGACTTATATCCATTGGGGTCCTTTTACCTTATTATTATAATGTAAAGGTGATAATATCTTATTATTCTATAAAGGAGATTACATCTTATTATAATACTATTAAGACTATCTACTACACGAGGGTCATTAAACTATCTACAATACTAGGGTCATTACTAGGAATAAGGTAAAATTACACGTGTTAGCTAAAAAAACATTCTCCTCCCTTTCTGTCGCTACATTCATCAGGCACTTTTTGGCTCTCTTCTTGAACTGGTTCATGCTATGACTGGCTTTGAAATGAGCGGGCAGTCTGCTCCATTCCTTTATTGCTGTACAATAAAAGGTGTTTGAAGCCTGGCCACTGGCTGTGGGTACTACAAAGTTGTGCTCTCTCCCCCAAGTACTATGATTGCTTTGGTTCCCAGCCTTGACAGAATTGGCAGCAAGATATTGTGGACACTGTGAGCAATTTTATAAACATGATTTACCTTCAGTTGTTTTACTCTACTGTAATTCATCCTGGCCTACATGCTCTCTTGGACCCTGGTCCAGGATGAATCTTACCATCTTGTTCTGGGTGATTTGCAGTCTATCTTTCAGTTTTTTTTTTTTTTTGTCAAGGCAGAGTACCATGAAGATTTTAGATTTTGCCACCGAAGTGGCTAGTTTATTGTGCACCCCCATATACATCCTGTGGACGGTAGCGCAAGAGCACATGGATACACAAAAGGCCTAGGAACTAGGCCCAAAAAAGGATTAACAGGTGTACATATGGGTTTTTATTTATCTACATATCTACAGTTCACTTATCTGTTACATGCAAATTTAGGAAATTTGCTTAGTATATCTGGTATCTTATTTTTATTAATAAAATATCTTGACATGTCACATAGGTTATTATACTGTCTGTCTCTATATTCCTCAATAAGTGGACAATTAGGCACATAGTGTTCAAGACAGTGACCATATGCCTGATCACATAATTTACATTTAGTTTTATCATGTGTGTGTATGCCAAACTGCCATAAGTACTTGTAACCAAGCCTAAGCCTGGTCACTACAATATCAGTCAGTCTGTTCACATTGCAAGTTGCTCCATGAACATACTTATCTACGTTCATGTTATCATAGTGGGTTATAGATCTACTGGGCTTCAAATTTGGGCTTTCCTATAACTTTTCATTTTTCATTATTTATTTTTCCCTTCCCCAATTTTATTCCTAATGTTTAAACCCAGATATCCCCAAGGTTATATTCTACTTTCTCCTTTTTGGGTAGAGTACCATGAAGAGAAAGCGTAACCCATATGACATTGAAAAGGGTTTAAAAAGGGGGCCTGCGAGCTTCAGAAAGTAAAACACTGTGTTGCCCCCATAGAGGAATTTCAGTCTGGCATTCGCTTTTTTTAATCACATTCCCTATAATTCTCCTGACAGGGCAGGGTAAAAGGGGGGTTTCCCCCAGAATTTTATGGGAAAACTGAAGTGATGGGCTCCCATTACACTGGAACTTTAAAATTATTTCCCCTTCTCAGTTTATGTTTCGTCCCAAAAGAAAAGGGCTTCAGTTTTCCCGGGGTGTAAGGGATAGTTTGTTGTCTACCCCCCAAATTTTGCTGCAGGATTGTGATAAGATTGGGGGACAGGGGAGTCAGAGTCCCACATTTTGTGGGTTCCATCTACATTGGTCTTAAATTTGCATGATAGAACGGGTTAAATTGGCAAAGGGCTGTATGTTTTCCCAAAGAGGGGTAGATTACAATCTTGGGTTTGGTCATTAGCATTTCGAGAAAAATAATACGAAAAGAACTTCATTTGAACTTTTTTGGGACTTAAGACTCGGGGAGATTGACCCCAAGTAAAATTCCATTTCATCATTCCATCATGCAGGGGAGCCAAATGCCTAGGGTTTGGCATCCAACAAAAAAAGCAACTTTTGGGAAAGCCCACTATTTCCCGGTTTCCGGTTTTGGGGTTACAAGTATTTTTGGGCTTTTTAAAAATCACCCCCACCAGTTTAAAAAACCAAACGAAATGTAAAACTTTCCCAAGGGACTTTTGTCAAAATGTTTTGTCTTATGTACGGGAAAGGCGAAAAAATTTTAGTGAATTTAGGAAAAACCACTCAAAAAAATAAAATTAGGCCCGAAGTTTTTCATGTACAGGGGGTAATTTACAGCCCATTCGGGAAAGAAAATCCCCTGACTATGCCCCACAAAACCCGCGGGCCTAAACCACGGAAAGAGTGGGGTTTTGTGCTCTCCCTCCCCTCTGTTTGTTTTAGGCAAAGCTTCCCCTTGTTTAAACCATGGCGCTGATTTTGGGGAGGAGGGCGTAAATCCCATCGGTATTGAGCTGCTTCGTGGGGGGATTTTACCCTCTTCAGCACAGGGATTACTCCCAACAATCATTAGGGGGACCTAGGGGAAACCAGGGAAAGATGGGTGTAAAGGGTTGCCCGAATGGGGCGTACAAAAAATCTTTTTCAAACTGAATTCCCAAAGTCCGTGACAAATTTGTTAGTGAGGAGATTTTCCCAAAACTGGTCCCTTTACGCTACTCCCGCTGTTTAAGGGTGCGTTTTTATCGACATATTCGCCACTTTTCCCTGGGGTTTAAAAAATTTGTAATGTCCCCTTTGAGGCAGAAGAGGCGACAATTTAGGAGTGTTTTTAGGCATATGGGCCCCTACAAACTGACCCAACAGGGCAAAATGGGGGCTGGTGCTTACCTGGGCCGTTGGGGGGAACCTTTTTCCCCAAAGATGACTTGAAGACTTTCCCCTTCCCAACTTACGTCTGGGTTTGGGGGACTTTTAGGACGCAAATTTTTTGGTATCGTACCCGGACAGAGACGTACATGCAGAATTGCGGGGGGTACGACCAAAATGGCGGCAGCCCTGTGTGAAAAATGAGGGGGGCGCCTTTCACAAACTATTTAAGCACCAGTTACCGCGGGGGGTTTCTGTTGTTGAGGCCCCACGCGGGGAAAAAAAGGGCTTGGGTCTTGTGGATTTTTGAGGTGGAGGATTTCCCAAAAAAGAGGGCTGGGGGTTTGTTTTGAGGTTTAAACTGTGCATAAAAGGATCTGTTATTAGGCAAGGAGAAGTTCAGAAGTGCAAGTGAGGGGGAGGTGCAGGCTTCCCAGGGAAAAGTTTAGGAAGTGTTGAGGACATTGACGCCGCCTGGGAGGATGGGTTTTTTCCTGACTGGTGAGAGGCACGAATTTTCCCGTTTGAAGAATGTAATGATGAAAACCATAGCAAAGGGTTTTTAAGGGCCCAAAACCTTTAAATGTCGGGGCCCCCCAAAAATGTTCAACAGGGCCCCCCACAAGCATGGGGGGGAATTTCCGAAAAAACCCTGGGCCTTTCCTTCAAGAGAGAGTTGGGGGGAAAATACCTAAAGTCAGTGCGGATCAGCCGGGGGTGTGGCCCCGTACGTCGGACTGCAGCGGCCACAAATAAAAGCCTTTATCAGGCCCTGATCCATCGGGAGGCCTGGGCATGGAAACCCGGGGGCCCCCGGGGGGGGTTGATCCCGGATTTAACCCCCGTAAGTGTTTAGTTTTTCCCCCGGGGTGCTGTGGGAACGAGGCGTGGTGGAGGTTTAGGTACATCGTGAGGGAACCCTTTAAGATAACATGGAGGGGGGAGCATCAAGAGGGAAAAAGAGTGGCGGCTCAGACTCTGATTTAA